CCACTGCGATGCTCAACGTGGTCGATGATGGTCGGGAGAAGCGGATAAGGTTGGGGGTATGTTGAATGTTTTGGCTTATCGCTGGGTTGACGCGATTTGGGCTGCAGATTAGGCTGTTAGATTATATAATGGGAAATTTTAAAGTTGATTGCGAGTGACAATACGGTACATACGGTGCGAGTAAGATTCACCTCGAGTGCGGCGTTCGCTCCGGTAGCCGTTCTGCTAACCTTGTTTTATTCCTTCCTTTCTTTCTTGCTTTCTTCTCGTCCGCGCGGCTAGCCATGGATGACTAAGGGTTGGTTGCCAGGCATGAGGATCGAGCAGAAGGAAGGAAGAAAAATATCAGATTAGATGGCTTATCTGATGATCTGATCGAACTTTCGAAATCAAAATGTTCGATCTGATGATCAGATAGTTTTTGATCATCTGATAAGCCTTCTGATCGGTCTCTTCCTTCCTTCGGCGCGAACCCCACGCCCGGCAACAACGATGCATCCCTGGCAAGCCGGGCGGAAGGGAAGAAAGGAAGAAAGGAAAAAGAAAGGAGTGGAACGCCTTGAGGAGCCAACGCCTCTCTCGAGCGTAGCCGAGGGGATGCTAGTTTTCATTGTACGGTACAGTACATAAGTAGACTCTGGTGGCTCAAGGTTAGATTACGACTTGACGTAAACTTATAGGATTAGCAAACATAAGAACTTAAGGTGAGAAATGCCGTTTTCCTGTATCTCACCCTCCTAGTGTAATTGACGGTAATTTACCGTAAGGTACCAATCGTGTAAGGTACTGGTACAGTAACGTACCGTATTATTCGGACGCTAAACTGGATACCCAGAAAATGCGGTACAGTAGGGCGTGAAGCGTGGAATATGGTGTGGTCATACTTTGTTGACAACAGAAAGAGATTAAGGGAAAAGACACGGATGGTGCGAGTATGAGATGGGAATGGCCATGAGCCATGACGTGGCAGTATACAAGTGTTCGTGCCAAAGGTACCGGTATGGCATCACACGTCATCCAGTACCGCTGGTGTTTCGCTCAGATAAGCGAGCAAACAACCCCACCCTCCTTTAACCCCAGACCTGTCACTTGTCATAACTTGAGATCATAATTTTCCACTCCCACCAGCTTATATTTTCTTACCTTCATCATACCCACGACCTAATGGCAGATAAAGCACACACCACTGGACAGTCAGAAATATCTGACAAATTACAGACAGGTATGATGGTGGCGGCAACTGCGCACTCAGGGTTAGGTCAGGAATTGGTTAGTTTTGAACAAGTTATGCAGTTCACCGCAGTCGAAGTTGTCACTTGGCTGAAACAAACCTCAATTTTCAAGCAATCGGGGGAGGGTGCGGCCGCAATTGAGGCTGCCATTATTGCGAATAACATAACTGGGGAATTTCTTCTGCTCTGTGGTCATGATACCAATTGGTTGATGCCGTGTTTACCTACTCTTGCAGTAGTTGGTTGCCTATCATCACGCATTAGAAACTTATACGCCAATGCTGGTGAATATACCCCTTTTCCAAATCAGCATCTTCTACTAATAACCATTCAGGGATACCATTACCAGCAAGGATTGACCCACCCACTGTAGCTAGCGTGCATAGACAAGATCTCTCTTCTCAACGTGCCGGTAAATATTCCCCGTTTCCCGGTACAATTCTATACTAACAGTTCATGAATCCCAGTAATTGCTGTGATTCAGGTCGTCGCACCCACAGTGGCCATGGAGCAAGGACAAGATATCTCTTCCACACATGATGGTAAATATTTCCCATTTCCCGGTAGACTTACTATACTAACAATCATTCAGGTATACCAGGAATTACAAGGATTGAGACACCCACGGTATCCACTGCAGAGGTTCAAGATCTCTCCTCCGAAAATCCTGGTAAACCTTCCCTATTTCAAGGTAAGTATCCGAAACTAACAACAATTCAGGTATACAATTGCCTACAAGCAGTCAAGTTGATGCACCCGCGGTGGCCGCAAAGCAAGGAGGAGATATCTCTTCCCCACATGCTGGTAAATATTTCCCATTGCCCTGTAACTTAGACACACTATACTAACGATCGTTCAGGTACACTGGTAACTACGAGGATTGTATCACCCCCTGGGGCTGCAGTACAAGTTGAAGGTCCCTCTTCTGCACAGGCTGGTAAATATTTCCTATTTCCCGGTAGACATACTATACTAATGATCATTCAGGTATACCAGTAGCTGAAAGAATTGTGTCACCCCTAGGAGCTGCTATGCAAGTTGAAGATCTCTCTTCTGCAAGTCTTGGTAAACTTTCCCAATTTGAAAGTAAGTATCTTATACTAACAATTCAGGTATAGGGTTACCCGCAAGGGTTCAAATTGACCCACATATGGTGGTTGAGGTTTACAAACAAGCTAGTTCGTCTAGATCTGTTGATATTGTAGGTCTCCATCTATAGTAAATTCTGAGTCATTAAACTTACTGATATTGACCGAGAATACACAAGCATCACCACACATGGTCATCAGGCTACCAAGATACGCGAGGCTGGGTACACATGTGTTCAACCTTAGATACCCCATTGGAATGGCCTTTTCCCTTGCTGGCGGACAATATCATTTATCCGACAGGTCTTTTGAGCAATGCCCTGGAAAGAGCAGGCCAGCTCTCAACAAAATATGCCACTTCTCCTACATATGCTTGTTTATGCTCGTGCTCGATGCAATCGTATCAGGCTTGTCTTGATACGTCGAGAGACATGTCAGGTTTGTATATGGGCTTGCGGAGGAGGAGGGCGGTGTGGGTGCCCTCGGAATAAATCGCTAATGATCGTATTCTTCACTGATTTTCGGTTCTGTTATCTTTGTTATTGACTAATAACCTCGCAACACAATTGCGAATATAATTACTAAAATTATGTGCTGCGGATACATATATGAAACTATCTTTATAGGTGACAAAGAAGTTTATTGAACGGCTGATCCCCAAAGACTAGTGTGGGGAATCTAGATACCCACAGACCTAATTCCAGCTGCATGATGGAACAATACAACATAAGGAAATAACAAACATGCCCAAAACTCATGCAAACTTCCCACAACTTTCCACAACAGTCCACCATGTTCAGCGATATGCCCAACATCGCTGAAGCCAATTTCCCAAAATCCTATCCCTTATCACCTCATAGCTCCTATCTCTTATGTGCTATGTCCCTATGCATTTTATCCAATTTCCGATACTTGTACGTTGTTGGATATCCTCATCCAGCCTACCACAGGTTGTGTCAAAGACCTAAATGTAAAAGGAGCTAGAGGGCGCGGATGTCACCCCGCTCGGCCGCAAGCTAAGGAGAGGATTGGGAAATTGTTGAGTGGAATATATATCGTCTTCGAAATCCCTAGATTCGTGGCATTCCAGATGTGAAGTCCCAGCTTTGCAAATGGGTTTGTGATATTTTGAATGTTAATGTGGATGGTGAACACGGTTGTGTGTTGTTATTGATGTTCCACTGCGTAGTTTCATGCTTTATCACTCGTTTATCGACTCAGCTGTGAATGGCGATCACCATTGGCAATAGGACCCTGCGTACAGACACCAGTGTATCTCCATCGCTTCGTATATATGCACATGGATTACCTATCAAGTTTAGGAGACACCGGATATAGAGGAAGGTGCTAGGAGTAGATGCAGGGAGACGGAGATGTTATTCATTTCATGTGTTCTTATATATCATGTTGGTTTGCACCATTGGTAGAAGAATCCATGAGGTCATTTCAGGGTTGTTTACCGTAACATGCCGAAGACCGATTGCACTGCCAGCAACGATGAGCGAGACATCACACCCACTGATTAGTCATGTCTCCAGCCAACCACCAGCATCTGAAAGAAAGAAATGGCGTTGAGGGGTTAGGGAGTTTCCGGAAGAGTGGGAGTGGGCTATGGTGATGCGAGAATGTTGTAGAGGACATACGGTAAAACAGGTTGAGGAACTTTGGAGGACTTTGAGCTATTTACACGAGGCGCGGGTAATAGCTGGGGAGCTGGGTGTAATTGGTTTAGTTGCACGGGTGAGTGCGTTGGGCAATAGTTGGACAATCTTTGATGGAAGAGCTATAGAGGAGCAATGGAGGGATATATATGTATATATAATATGTTGTATTTAGCTAAAAGAAATCAGCTGGAAGATCAGGTCATAATTTAATATTCTGTTGGTCTTTTCCTCAAGTTCTTTAAGCTTTGTTGAATTCCCACACCTGATCACACTCCCAACCCAGATTCTCTTTTCATTGTCCTCGGTGGATGTCGTGCCCACACTATCGTACTAGATCGCATTGCTTGCTCCTCCTCTGGCTCCACGCCGATAGAGTTATCATCTCTATTGACAGAACTTTGTTCATTATCTCCTCCAGTTTGGGCAACCTTGATCATGCTGTATGCTGGAGTGGCTAGGTTCATCGGATTTGTGGAGTACTGTACGCAAGCATCTTTGCCAAGAATGCCTCCGCCCGGCGATTTTTTGTGGAGCAATCTTCAAATTTTCGGCCCGCTGAGGCATTCCCGGCCTAGACGAGTGAGTATTGTACTCACACCCTTCTCGAATAGAAGCTCTAGGTATGCATCACAAATGGCCTGATCTGGTGTCAGAAAGCGTAAGGAAAGGCGGAATCGCACGCTTCGCACACGCTCAACACCAACCCAGGAATACCGCATTTTGTGGGGAAACTCGAAATGGAGCTAAGGTGGCCGAATGAAGTTTGGCTCGCTAGACGAGCTAGATTTACAAGAGGATTGCTGCATAACGTTAGAATATGGCAATAGTTCGCCACGGAACAATGCTTTTATCGGAGTTTAGCACTTTTTTGGAGAGCACAAGTCACCAGTAAAGGTTTACTCTCGTCCGCCTATCGAGGCACACTTCTTTTAACTCTCTTACCACCGTTTAGAGAATACCCAGAAAATGCGGTATCATAAATGAGAAAACCCCAAGGAACCAAAGAAATAAAAATCAAATTTCACCCGGGCTCGAACAGGGGACCACCAGTGTGTTAGACTGATGTGATTACCAATCACACCATCTTACCTCATTGGTAATCTTCACTTCTGGTTTTGATGTCATTTTTTTGCAAAGTTCGATACTTGTATTTTCAATCTTGTGAGCCAGATTATCTGTTTACACACTGATTTTTACCGCTCCGTGCCCCAGGTTATCAGGCTTTTGTCGGTGGATATCTATCGTCTGGTTGTTAGATCGATTCACCATAAGAACTCGAATAATTGAACCTAGAGCGAGGACTTGGGGATTGGCTTTCCTGGTAACTTTTGGCACTTCTTTACTTTTTCTTTGTCTTAAGTTGGGGCCTGCAGGGTGATACCCCGCACCCTTTTCACCCACCTATCCAAGAGAGGAAATTTGGGACGTCCTTGCTCGAGGTTTAATCATTCGAGTTCTCATGGTACGTGGTCCATAACAAAAAGAAAATTGTGGTACAACATGGTCGCAGCTAGACAGACAAGACCATGTTGGACTAGTCGACAAAATGGTTTTGTGAACGAAAGATCTCAGGACGATTGGGCAGGATGATATATTTATGGTTGAGATACATGTTGAGGTTTGCAGAAACCTTTCGATGGCTGATGGAGGAGTTCGAGGGGGATGAAGGTGTATGAGCCAATACATGCAGAGTATGGCTCATACCCCTTAAATGTGCATAATCTTTATAGTTGGCAACAGGCCTCATAGGATGTATAGTGCCAAACAAACAAAATCTTCCCACATGTATCCTGATACATTGGGCAACCTGATCTACCATAATGCAATAGCAACTACAGATATGGGAAATCTGATTCACAATTAGGCTTTATAGTATCTAGTAAAAAGATCTAGAGAAGGAAATTGGCAGAAAAGAACTCCAAGAAGAGATATTTAAGGTAAGAAATAGTAGATCCTGCATGGCACCCGATGAGTAGGCTGGCGGAAAAAATGGGCCAAGATGTCAAAGAATTCAGGGCGAGTAATATACCATGATCCCAGATTTACCAAAGTTGAGTAAAGTGAAAAATATGTATGGAAAAAAGAAAAGAAGAAAGAAGAAAAAGCAAGGGTGACTTAATCTAATCCACACTCAGTCAAAGTGTTCTTTGTCAACCATGATAGATATAATCCCATCTGATAGGCATTGTGGTACAGTAGTTAGCATAGGGCATGAGGGGCTGAAGGGTCGTGACTGTTGTGTGTGGGGTTTTTCCTGTTTGTATATGTGGAGAGTACAGTTGTACTAGTACTGCAGTTCTCTGTAGAGCAAGTGGAGAAGAATGAACAAGTCTTCTATTTTTCCTCGACCACAACATAAGTGTTCTTCCTCCTGTACCACATGCTATTTCCACTACTGACTGAGGCTAAATCGCCATTGCGCCAGAGTTGCTATCAAATAGTTGCTATCTGGTTATGAGCCCGGCATTTCTAGGCCAGGAGACAAATACAGGAAATTGTTAAGTAACGTTCTGCCCCAAACAAACCAAAATAAAAAAAAGTAAAAAAAATAAAAAAAGTAACCATTTCTACACCAATAGCTTCCCTACTAACATCCACTATTATTAAGACACTTCAGTCAACATCCATGAGCAACCCACCACTGCTGAAGATATTTGTTGCATGTGCCCAGCCAAGGACATCATCTTCATAGTACGATCATGAATGACTAAGATGGTTCACCCTCATTGGTGAGAATGGGATTTCCCAAACTGGATGGAACGAATCACCACCTGTGGGCAATGTGCATGACAGATCTTCTCCAGTGGGAAGGTCTTTGGGGTTTGACAATGGGTGAAGAAGATATTATTGAGAAGTCATCAAGCACCAAGGCAAACAATGAGAAATGTCTTGATCGATACCAAGCACAGCAGAGGAGAATCCACAAGGTGATTAGAACTCTTCATCTAGGTATAATAGATGTGATTGCTGTAACATACTACAGCTCAGTATGGAAGTTACCAGCATTGATTTGAGATAATGTCAATAAAATGTATGAGACTGCAGTTGGATACAATGCAAAATACCTACAGAAGGAATTGTATAAGTGCACTCTCGAGGACCAGGGAACTGCCCTAGAGTACCTAAATCTGATCCGTGAACTTCATGAGAAACTTATGATTTGCAGACAAGCACCAACCCATGGCCAACTCATATTCCACATATTTGAAGGTCTACTGAAGGCTCCCGAATGGAAGACCTAGACCATGGTTACAAAAGGCACACTACACTCACTAACAAGAGTGACCGGATAAAACAAGTTCCAAGTGATATTGACTGCCTACAAAGTAGAATTGCACTGAGAATAAGCTATTGAGCCAGGTCAAGCCTTGTTTTCAAAGTTCAAGGAGCAGGGCAGTGGACCACTAAAAACTCAGGGAGGTTGGAAAAAGAGTGATACTGGTAGTCTACCAGGCAGGCCAATTAAAGGAAAGTTTATAGGCACATGTCATCACTGCGGAAAACAAGGATACAAGATCCGTCAGTGCTGCTCAAAGATAAAAGAGGAGAGTCACTAAGGACCTTCACCAAGGAGTGCAAACCTATCTGGAAGAGCTGATGTAATGGAACAGCAGATGTGGCTGGCAACTGGTACAATTAAAACTGAGAAGTTTGATGAGGGTAGAGTTGAGATGGCAATGTTGAGGGAGCAAGTTGTTGAGGAGATAGATTGGGTGATAGACTCTGGTTATACCAACCATATGATGAAGCATTAAGGAGTGTTTGTCGATGGATCCTACTACTGATTGACAAAAGATGAGTGTCAAATACAAATAGCAACAGGAGAATTAGTTTCTGCTACTAGTGTTAGTACTGTTTGAGTTAAAATTTGGTCATCCATGAATGATGTCAAAACAATCCTACTGGTTGATGTCCTTCACATCCCTCAAGCTGGATTGATGAACTTAATATCTGTCGGTCAATTGACAGGAAAAGGTATCAACATATTGTTTGGGAAAGATTCTGCAAAAATCTACAAAGACAGAGTCATTACGGCGATTGCAAAAAAGGTGGATTGCCTCTACACACTTCTCATAGAAAGTGAGGGGTATGAGCTGGAACTGCTTAGTTCAATCAAAGATAAGATTCCAATGACACTATGACATTATCAATTGTGGCCACCTTCACCACTAAGCTCTTTTGAGGATGAGTAGCAAAGAGCTTGTTCGTGGTTTAACTGCTCCCAGGTGACTACAATAATAGGCCATTGCACCCTCTGTCTAGAAGGGAAGATGATCCACACACTATTCAAACTGACCAAACAATGAACAACTGCACTGCTTGAGCTTGTACACTCCAACTTGTGCAGACCAATGCAGCAGAAGTCATTTGGTCGATATTCATATTTCATGCTACTCATTGATGATTTTATGAAGTTTATGGCAGTTTACTTTTTGAAAATGAAGAGTGAGGTGGTGGACTGTTTCCATGAGTACAAAGCTCATGTAGAGAAGCAACAGTGAGGTGATAGCAAAGACTATGTGATCAAAGCTGTATGGACTGATGGTGGAGGGGAATTTACAGCGGCAACTTTCCTGAGAGAATTGAGAAGATGTGGGATAGAGTCATATGTTACAGTCCCCTATACACTACAGGAGGATGGTGTATCAGAGAATGACAACAGAGTGCTGGTTGGCAGAGTGAATGCATTACTTCAGCATGCTGGAGCCTTGTGAGTCTATTGGGCTGAAGCAATACAGACTGTAGTCTACTTGAAGAATCTATCCATTACAAAAGGAACACGCAGAGTTGATGCAACACTATATGAACTTTGGTTTGGGAAGAAACCAGACATCCAGTATCTGCGAGTTTGGGGGTGTATGGCATACACTCATATCAACCCAGCTAAATAAGTAGATAAGAAATAGACTCCACAGGCAGAACATCTGATTTTTGTTGGGTATACATTGACTACAAAACAATACTACCTGTATAATCTAAAGACCAAGCAGGTGATTACATTGAGGGATGTGGTATTTCATGAGGATTGCCCATTCTACAAGCCACTTGAGAAGCAGGGTATCCACCCAATGAAGAATAAGGAGTCTACAGTTATTGTTCCCATGGATTCTGTGGGAGATGCAGACCTGTACTTAGGGTAGGATGAAGACCAGTCATCATATGATGACAAGGGAGATGATCAGATCATTGTAGGGGGAGTTGGTGAAGGAGAGGTGAGAGAAGAAGAGGCAGTTGGAGTATCAACCCAAGGATTGGGAAGAGTTTATCGTAAGTAAGCAATTGAAGGCAACCCCCAGAGATGGAGTCACATGATGATGGGAATGAAATCAGATCTTGGATCTTACTGGGACCAACTGCCAAGCTCTAAGTGAGAATGAAGAAAACAAAGTGATTCTAGTGGAGAAAGCAATCAAGTAGTGAGTATTGATTTGGCTTTATTAGTTGCTGATAGACCAAGAACTGTGGCAGCTGCACTCAAAGGCCCTAATCATATGGATTGGATTTCTGCAATCAATGATGAGCTGCAGTCATTGGAGGATCATCAGACCTAGACAGTGGTTGATGAGAGAAGGTTGCCGGAGGGAGCACGTACTATTTCGTCAAGAATTGTACTTCAGAAGAAGATAGGAGAGGATGGGAAGGTTGCCAGATACAAAACCCACCTCGTCGCACATGGATTCCACCAGCATGAAGGAATCGATTATACCAAAACCTACAGTCCTACAATCTCATCGGCAGTGATCTAGATGGTACTGTCCCAAGCTGCGGTAGAGGACAAAGAAATTGTCCAGCTCGACATAGTCACTGCATTCCTCGAGAGTGAGGAAGATGAGGAAATGTATCTACATCTACCAAAAGAGTTTCACATATCAGAGTGTAACTGAGTCATCCTATGAGCAGAAGAAAAGGAACAATCACTGAAGGTGACACAAGCATTATTGTTTGGTTGAATTGTAGTCTCTATGGACTGAAGCAGGCTGGCTGAAATTGGTATAATATATTGGGATCTTATTTTACTATTGATATCGGAATGCATGCATCAAGGTATGAAGCTGGTATATACAACAGTGAAACCAGAGCAACAATCAT